ACATGGAAGCGATATTACTAAGTCGTAAAATCGGTCAGGCGTTAGGAATTTATGTTTTAAGATAGAACATGTAACTTGAGACGTTTTAGGGGAGATAAGGAACTCTGAGCTCTCCTTTAAATCCATATACATACATACATACATATATATATAGTTATGACTATAGACTGAATATGTATATACGTACATATTTTCTGCAGTATATATTATAATGGCTTCATCAATCGATGTTATCGCTTAATGTTTTCGATCTCACTATTATTTTTTTGTTTTTGATGTATATAATGATGAAAGCATAGTTCAACTGATTTTTAATGAAGAATATTAAAAATGTCTTTCGCTCCTATCTGATAAAATAATAATAATAATAATATATAATTGTATTGAATACAAAAAGATTTTTCACATAAAAATATACGTACTTGATGTTTCAGAAAAAGTTTCATGGATCAGTGAATTGAAGTATTATTGCAGCTTTAATTAGTAAGTATTTTTCTTTTTTCTGGAAAAAAATATAACATGTTCGTAAAATTTATTTGCTGTTCAAATAAATATATTTTTAAAGGAGATAGGGATAAAAATTGAATATCAGACATATAAATTTTATCTCGAATTACGAAGTTTTAGCGAAAATTACGATCCTGTTATATTTTATCCATTCATAAAATATAGGAAATTAAAAAGATAATTTGATTTAGAATAAAAGTTTATGATGAATTCATAGTTCAACCGATTTTTAATGAGGTATATTAAAAATGTCTTTCGCTCCTATCTGAATTTTTTTTTTAATCTCAAATATATTGTCTAAACATTATACTTTTATTTTATCTTTTCTTTTTTTTTTTTTTCAGGAAGCTAAGCACTGGATTTAAAACTATAATAATAGTTGAAGGGTGCTGGTACAAGTAAGCATTTTTAATTTACGATTATATGTGATTAAATTTATTTTTTAAAAAAAATTTTCTCGTTATTAAAAATTTTATTTTTGAAATATGCTATTAATTACTAGTCAATATTGAATTTTCAAAATCAATGATGTATTTCTGTAAATATGTTTGATTTTTCATGATATGTATACATAATGAATTTCGTCACTACCGCTGAGAAATAAAATAATATTTCAAAATTATGATATTATTTATATCAGTAAAAAACAATATTGTTACTTTTTTGCAGGAAAAACTGAATATTTTAAGTACGAAAAATTAAATATAAATCTCCAATGATAGGTAAATAACTATTTCATTTTAAAAGATCAAGCATTACTGATAAAAAAATATTTAAATTATTTTATTACAATGATGTAAAACATTTGCAATGATTCAATGATTACATTCCATTAGCTCTATCTGAAAGTTAAATTTCTCTTTCTATTCACAAAATAGAAAAATATAACTGGTAAACAATGCATTTTTATATTCCAGGTTATAAAGAAGAATTTTACCATATGAAATGTGTAATATTTGCAAAATATATTTTATTAATATAATATAATTTACAATGTTGTAATTTCTAATAAATAAAATTTAACACAATTTAATTGCTACCTTCATTTTTACCCATTTTTATACTCCTTTTATATCAATAAAATAAAATCTCGTTGCATTAAAATTTAGAAAATATTATATCGTGTATAGATATCATGTTCCTAAGAAGAATTTGAAAGCGAAGCCGCAAACACGAATAAATTGCATCGAGATTATTAATTGGACAAAAACATACCATGTTCCAATTTGCTTTGTATTCGATGCGCAATATTTAAATATACGATAAATCTAAGTAAGATTACAATGTTTTTTACATTCTCTTCAATAATTATAAAAATATCGATACATATATTTAAGTTAACAAAAAATTAACATATGTTTATAAATTCATAAAATACGATTTTACTATGAAAAACATCGAATTAAATATACGAATAATTATTATCACTAATCTGATTG